GGGTAAGATTGCTCAGTACCAAGGCACTCTGTTTGCCTTCTCCTTCCAGGATCTTATGACGCTGTATCTCTGGTGGCATCCTTCACAGAGTAGCCTCAGGTTGATGGAGGGTGGGGATGAGAGAGAGACAGAGAAAGGAGGGAATGTGTCCTTCCACCCAACAAGGACCTTCCTTCCACCAAGCAGAGCCTAAACGGGCTATGGGACATATTGGGAAATGTTCCTTGGCAGTATGAAAGTGGGCCACCAAGATGTGAAAATCGTTCAAATCATGCACTTTGAAAGTTTTCTGTTCTTTCTAGATAATATATATGATCAGTACTTTTACCCATCTCCTTTTCCCTATTCCTATTGCGGGTAAATCTCATTTCCATTTATTGAGTCAATGTAGACGTGAATGGCAATTTGCCAACTTTATCAACCCAGTTAAAAAGTACGGGAGGAAAGGATGTGTGTACCTAGCATTTCAGATTGCCAAAAAATATATAATGGACTGTGAGAATACCATTAATGTGTTTTTATTTTGTATAGTTTTGTTGGGGTTTTTTGCTCCCTTTTTTGGTGCTAGACTTTAAAAAAAAAAAACGAGGCCCTGTTAATGTACAAATGTCAGACGATCCAGAAACTAATATTTGAGTGTTGCCTTGCAGGCTATTTTCTGGCCTAATTCCTTTGGTAAGGAGACCACTCAAACATTGTTGGGATAGGTGTTGCCACAGCCAAAGGATCTGGAGCTTGCTAGAGAGATTTTGCTCCATATTAGTCAGGGTAGGAGGTGTAACTGCTATAGCAAACAGTGGTTTAACACAATAAAAGGTTATTGCTTTCTCGTGTATGTATGGGACACTAAGAGGGCTTCACCCTCATAACCTCATCTAAACTTAATTACCTCCCAAAGTCCCCACCTCTCAATACCATCACATTGGGTGTTAGGGCTTCAACATACGAGCCTGGGGGAACACAAACATTCAGTCCATAATAGCCTCCATTCTGTGTGTGTGTAAGGTGGGTGGGGGTGGGGTAAAAAAGACATAACATAAAATTTGCCATCTTATTTGCAGTGTACAGGTCACTACTGTTAAGTATCGTCACATTGTTTGCAACCAATCTCCATAACTCTTCATCTGTAAACTGAAACTCTATACCCATTAAACAACTCCCCATTTCCTCCTCCTCCCAACCCCTGGCAACCACCATTCTACTTTCTGTTTCTATGAATTTAACTACTTAAGTGGAATCATACAGTGTTGTCTTTTTGTAACTGGCTTATTTCACTTAGTGTCATGTCCTCAAGGTTTATCCATATTGTAGCATGTGTTAGAATTTCCTTTCTTTTTTTTTTTTTTTTTTTTTTTTTTTTGAGGCAGAGTCTCACTCTGTCACCTGGGCTAGAGTACTGTTGTGTCAGCCTAGCTCACAGCAACCTCAAACTCCTGGACTCAAGTGATCCTCTTGCCTCAGCCTTCTGAGTAGCTGGGGCTACAGGCATGCGCCACCACCACCTGGCTAATTTTTTCTATTTTCAGTAGAGGCAGGGGTCTCGCTCTTGCTCAGGCTGGTCTCAAACTCCTGAACTCAAGTGATCCTCCTGCTCCGCCCTACCAGAGTGGTAGGATTACAGGCGTGAGCCACTGCGCCCAGCCTTCCTTTCTTTTTAAGGCCGAAAAACTTTCTGTTTTATTTATAGACCACATTTTCCTTATCCATTTCTTCATCCTTACGTACTTGGGTTGCTTCCACCTCTCGGCTTCTGTGCTGCTAGGGACATGGTGTGGCCTTTGTTACTTAACAGTGGCTACCCTAAGGTCATCTAAAGCAGACTTCACCCTCAATCTAAGTCACTTTATACAACCAAGAAAATTTACTGGGCCTTTGTTCAAAGCCTTTTTCAATTTTGCCTCTCTGGGCTCTAGAAGCAATTTTTTCCCCTAATCCTTCAAAACCTCAAATTTCTGAGTTGTCTTTACTGTTTTTCATCCCTCCTTGAAAACTGAGCAGTTCTTTCCTATGCTCATCTCTTTCCTGTAATACGTTGCCAGAGGAAGATTTTCTCGTTCTTGTCCCAGTCCGATGTGGATTGAGGGTGGGTTGCTGTGCTCCACACAGGGCCCAGGTTCCTTCCTTCACGTGGCTGTCTGCCTTCAGGGCCCTGTCCTCTTCTGTACTCCACTGAGAAATAGAGAGAGAAAAGAATTACACCGGAAGGCTTTTAGGGCCCAGACCTGAGAGTAGTATATGTTCTTCCACCCCCATTCCATTGTCCAGACTTGTTATGATACCCCTACGTAAGTATAATGGGGGATGGGAAATATAATCTTGCTCTGTTCCCAGGGGGAAAAGAAAACAAGTTTTGGTGAACATATAGCAGCCACTGCCATAGGCTGGAGCTAAATTTGGAAGTACCAGCATATAGGAGGGGATTAAAGCTATGAGTGAAGATGGGGATCACCCCATAAAGGGTGTAATGGGAGTAATAGGAGACCTTCATAAAAGCAAGAGCACTTTCTGGAGGGTCTGTACTGGTAAAAATAACCTATGTAACCTAACTTTACAACATTTAAAACAGTTACTACTGTGTTTGCAGGAAAGTTTAAACATGTGGATTAAATAAATGGAAAAGTAGCTTTTTCAGAAACTGGAGTGGTTCCTCTCCTTAAAGTTAGGCAGGAAAAACATGTATCGGCATCATTTTATTGTGACTGTTGAAGCTTGTGAGCATAAAATATCTCCTAATTTTAGAAATACTGAACTAAGTAAAGATTTGGTTTTTCATTTGTCATTTAATGAATGCACATTTATTGAGCATTTAATATGTGCCAAGCAGTGTGAGAATTATAACAATAAGTCACAGTCCCTCAAGGAAGATCAAATTTCGTTGGAAAAAAATAAGGCAAGTAAATAGAAACCTAAAACACCAGGCAGACCCTCTAAGATCACAGGAGTTGCACACCTGAAATGTTAGAACCACAGGGGAGGCAGTCTGGAAGTGAAAGAGCATTGATTTTTGAGCCCAGCTGATCTAGGTTTGAATCTCAGCTCTGCTGCTGAGTGTAACCTTGGGGAAGTTAATATCTCTGAGCTTAGCATTTCCTTATTTCTAAGTTTGTGATAATAATACCTACCTTTCAGATTGCTATGGTTAAGAGTAATCTGTATAAGCCTAACAGTACTTGGTATTACTTTGTAGTTATTTTCATTAATATTATTGAAGAATGTAGAGTCCATATTGGATGGAAGAAATGAGTTATCTTACACCAACTCTGCAGTCCCCAACCCCTGGTCTGAAGACCGGTACAAGTACCAGTCCATGGCCTGTTAGGAACTGGGCCGCACAGCAGGAGGTGAGGAGAGGGCGAGCAAGCGAAGCTTCATCTGTATTTACAGGCGCTTCCCATCGCTCCCCAGCATCACTGCCTGAGCTCCCCCGACCCTCCACCCCCTGTCCATGGAAACATTGTCTTTCATGAAACTGGTCCCTGCTGCCAAAAAGGTTGAGTACTGCTGCTAACTCACGAATTCATTCATTCGGTAGTTATTTAGTGAACCACTACTATGCATAAGTATTTAGGATTAGACTGTGTGTGTGTGTGTGTGTGTGTGTGTGTGTGTGTGTGTGTGTGTGTGAGTATCTGTGTTTGTTTTCTAAAGCCCTATTCAGTTTTTAGCAGAAATGTTTGTCCGCAGCCACCAGGCTTATATAGTGCTTTCCCTCCTTCAAATGCCCAGAGCCCACCCTTTCCCTCTGGGCCCTGCTACCATCCTCCTCCTTTGCTACAGGGATCTGCCCCACTTATTATCCCATATAATCTCCTCTTCCCCTGCCCACGCCCCTGTTTTCATTGCTTCCATTTCTGCTGACTTCACCTCAGGCAGCCTTTTTTCTTCACGTATGAATCTTCCTCAGTCCCCTTTCTTACGCTTATTCTTTCCATTTTGTTCCCCCCAGTTACCTCCGAAATAATTTACTACCTTCCTTCTGTCTTTGTTTATTTTCCTTTTCATATCATGGAAAACTTTCAGATTATTTCCTTTGTGGCTATTTAGGTATCTCCACGGCAGTTCCTCTCTGCTGATACCGATGCCAACGCTGACCCAACATTCCTTGCACACCTGCTGTCTGGCAGGTGCTGTGTTGAGCCTTCTCATCTCCCAGAGGTTCTATTGCAAGCTAACTGGCAGCAGGGACCAGTTGTATACCTTTTTGAATTCTCAGTACAGTCCTATGCACGCAGGAAATGGCCTATAACTATCTGTTGATCAGAGAGAGGAAGAACAAACAATTAATTTTACATAGCATTGAAAATGATTTCAAAAAATAATTTCATATGCAATTGTTTCATTGACTGTACTGCAGAAGTTTTTTAATGATAAATACAAAATAGTCTCACTTTGGTGTGGGTTAAATGTACTTTTGCGCGATTAGTTAGGAACCATTTTTTACCTTGTTTTTATGTCAAACTAGATTCCAAGTTCTAAACAACTGCCTTTGCAAAAGCCACTTTGGCACATAAATGATAAGATGTGGACTGTCTGTTCAGAATTTTTCTCTTTCACTAATATTTTGAAAGGGGATTTAGTTTCTGGTAAAAATGCCTTGTTTGTCTTTCTCTTATTTGGTGAGTGTCGTCATATGCCATTTCCCACAAATAAAGATTCTCAAGCTTTTTCAGCCTCAGGGAATGAAGTAACCACCACAGCCCACTGGAAATAGATCCAGGATTAACAAACGTTGCACACATTTGCTGATGTCACAGGGGCGTGACTTCTGAGAGGCAAACATCCCACTGTAACTAAAAATGGGCAGCAAGTACAGGGCACACAAATTTACAGATAAAAATTTTGACATTTGTTATTGTTAATGAATATACCATAGTATTCTGAAGACTTGCCCCTCATTAATTGGTTTAAAACTCAGTCTCTAAGTTATATCACATCGATCCCTGTTCTGCCACGGCTCCATTTAGGACCTTGGCTCCTCCCTGTTGCACCCCTGCGCTGGCGTCCTGCCCTGTCTGCCGTCCCCAGTGCCTCTCTGTCCAAGCCTGCGCCAAGCTCAGGCTCTTCAGGCTGCTCTCCACAGCTGTCCGCAGAAACACTATGCTAAGCCAATCCTTATATTTCCTGATTTCCTTTTCCTCCTTCTCTCTCTCTCATTTCTTCCGTGTTTAGAAAAATCAAAACAAAATAATTGAATACAAAGAAAGTTTTTGCTTCAACCGCTCACCATTCTCTAAAGTCATCCTCACCCCCTACCCTCACCCCCATCCACAAATGTATGTCTTTCTCCACTTAAAAATGTCCAGGTGCCTTGCAGGGCCCAGTTCAAAAGCTGCTTCATGATGTTTCTCTGATCACTTTTCCATCCACATAGATGAATACACATCATCTTTCTTTCCACTGGGAACTCTATTCTTAATAGAATTTACCACATGCTGCCTTGTATTACATTATAGCTAGTGGATTGCAAGGCACTTAAGAACAGCATTCATGCTTGGTTTAATTTTGTTTACCTCTTAGCACTTAGCAGAGGGGTCTGCTCATAGTATCAGCATAAAAAGTGTTTATTGAACAGTTACTTCAAGATAGACTAGTTTCAAAGCACTTTGTTTGAACATGGTGTTTGTGATATCCTCTTGTATCATTCCACATTTCTTTCATAGGAGTTTCTAGATTTTCAAGTCTCAAGATCAGCCCCATTTTATTAACAAATTTAATCCTGCTTTTTATTTGAATCTGAGAGTCAGTGAATTGTACCCTCTCTCTCGGTAGCCTCGTATGCAAGCTGAACACAAGAACCACCATCCTGGCAGCAACTAACCCCAAAGGCCAGTACGACCCCCACGAGTCTGTGTCTGTCAACATCGCCCTTGGCAGCCCACTCTTAAGTCGATTTGACCTGATCCTGGTTTTACTTGATACCAAGAATGAAGACTGGGATCGTGTAATTTCCTCCTTTATCTTAGAAAATAAAGGTATGTGGAGACAAATCATTCCAAGTAACAGAGAGATTAGACGTGACTAAAGGAAATTTCCTTTAGCCGCGACAAAACTAGTCAGCTCCCATCTATAACTGTTAATTTTTCTAGTGCTGCTTTGTGCTGAGAGAACACTATAGTTTACTGTACTTGACCTGTAAAAGACTGATTTTTTGTAATTTTAGGGATAAATTAGGTGGCTAATTTAAAGAACTTTTCAGTGTTGCCTTTACATCACATTAATATATAACTTCTTTCAAAAGAGTAATAGAAGCACTGATTCATAATAAAAAAATCTTGTTTTTATCCTGTGTGAATTGGACTCTAGAAGAAAAAAAAATCTGTTTTTAGCTTTGAAAAAATAAATAAGAAAATTCCGTTTGAAGATAATTAGGTAAATACCCAGGATATGCTACATAGCCAGCATTAGAGAGATGCTTAGACAGAAAGCAGTGGGTGAGAGGAGCCAGTCAGCGGGCCCCAGAATACTGAGTAGAAGGAAAAGACCATTCTCTACCAGCCATTGATGAGAGTATGGTTGTTGGATATGTCCCTTGCAATGAGAGGGAGCAACCTTATGGTAGAGAATTACCACTAACCTCTTATACACAGAGAAAACTGAACTGAATTATGAAACAAATCTCTAAATGTGGACGTCTCTTTAAGTTAGATTTATTCAAGTACTATTTATTACTATAGGGTAGACCAGAATTATTCTGAATAATTTTAACCCCTATAGGAAGGTTACCTTTATTCGTCTTAGATCATAAGACTGTTCTTTCTAGAACTGTATGCTATGCAGAGAACAGATCTAGATTTCAATAGCCATAAAAGCTGAAGATTATCTTTTAAACAATGAGTACAAGAACTTTATAAAAACCCTTAAAATGACGTTTGCCTTTTCTTTGAAATTACTGACCCAATACTTGATGTACACAGGTTACCCAAGCAAATCAGAGAAGCTCTGGAGCATGGAAAAGATGAAAGCCTACTTCTGCCTCATTAGGAATCTACAGCCCTCACTGTCTGACGTGGGTAACCAAGTTCTTCTCCGGTACTACCAGATGCAAAGGCAGAGTGATTCCCGAAATGCTGCCCGGACCACCATCCGCCTGTTGGAAAGCTTGATACGATTAGCAGAAGGTTTCTTTCATTCAACAAATGATACTTTCATTGAATGTCTACTGTGTGCAAGGCATGGAGCTTGGCACCATGGAATCAAAGATGAATAAGAATAACCCTTATTCTAAGGTGCTCATAGTCACTTAAAAAGTAAAGACCCTGAGCCATGAGACCTTGTCCGCTCTTCTGAGGACAGATTATGTCTGTTGAGTGGAATGTAGTGTCATTAAGAAAGAGGGATCTTTGTGACATCTCAGGACCTCCTGTAACTTCATTTAGAAAGCCTTTGTTCTAATGTTTTGTTTCTCAGTGGCAGCTCTGTTAGCATTTTGATTGGGACAGTTTCTTGTTTGGAATTGTTTATCTCTGGTTCTTGCTCTGTAAGTACCAGCTGCAACCCATCCCTATCATTATAACAACCAAATTGACAATGCTGTGCCCTATCCGTCCCTAAGGTATAAGGCTTACATGTACACATATGGTGAATATGTATCTCAAACTTTTTTCCCAACTTTGGCTTTTACATTTTAGCCTTTGTTTAAATAATTCTAAAAAAAATTTCATGTATACTGAATGTGTCACATAGTAAAATAATATAAGCTTAATCAAAATTACTGTAAAACAAATGGACTTCTTTTTTTCAAGGATTTATAGCTAATATTAGGGCAAGTAATACTCAAAATTTAGGCTTGCTAGGTTGGTAGCTTTGAAAAGCTCATATAGATCATAGATAAGGAAAAGTGCCAGAGATGTGAAATGAGTTTAAATTTTATGTATTTCTACAGTAAATTACAAAGTGAAGATTAAAAGTTGCTGAATGTTAAATATATGTTTATACAGCTTTCTTTGCTAGAGCCTAGAGTATTTTTACATACAAATATACAAAATTGCATAGGCTGTGTAGAAGGATTAGGCCCATTATAGAAACAACCTTAAGGCTAGTTAAATATCGACTTCTGTGCTTGTTCTAGTAAAATTAATTTGTTATTAGTAGCTCATTCATGAAATACAATTAGGGGGTCAGGTAGAAAATTACTGTTATCACCTCAAATATTCCTAAAAAAGAGATGTGTTTTATTTTCTCAGCTCATGCCCGTCTGATGTTTCGTGACACTGTGACTCTGGAAGATGCTATTACAGTGGTGTCAGTAATGGAGTCCTCAATGCAGGTAAGGATATTTTGTGTACCTAATGTTTACCCTAATTACAAGCTTTCTTAAAAAAAGAGACATGTTATTAATATATCAAGACTTATAAAAATGATCATATTCTAGACCTACTAATTCCTGGAAATATATTCAAAGGTAACCATTTAAAATAAGAGGAAAATATGTCATAGAGACATTCACTGCATTGGCGGATTGCATTTGCCCATTGGTATAAAATAGGGGATCTCAATCCTTTTGTCCTTTGCACACCTGAAGGATGTTCATGGTTCCACTAGTGACAGTATGGCTTTCTAGAGCAATGATCGCCACTAAGAACTGGGAACAAGAACTATCAAAATTTGAAAAAGCCTCCCAGATGATTCTGATACCCAAGGTAGGGGTGTGGAGGGCCAGTCTAAGCCATCCCAGTGTATACTGCCACCGTGAAGGCCAGCGTGCAGGCCAGCATGGTGACTCTCCCTGATATTTTCTCACCCCTGCAGGGAGGTGCACTGCTAGGAGGTGTGAATGCTCTCCACACTTCCTTTCCTGAAAACCCTCGGGAGCAGTACCAGAGGCAGTGTGAACTTATTCTGGAAAAGCTGGAGCTGCAAAGCCTCTTGAGTGAAGAGCTTAGAAGACTTGAAAGGTGAGGAAGGAAAACCAAGAAAGGCATTTAATGGAAAATCCTCGTTTGGCAGTTAGTGAAACAAAGGAAGCATAAATTAAGTGGAAAATCTGTCTGTGCTACCTGTAGGGGATTCTTTCAGTTATCTATTGCTGTACAGTCAACCACTCCAAAACTCAGTGGCTTGAAAAAACACCATTTTAGTGCTCACTTTTTTGGGAGTCAGAAATTCAGGCAAGTTCAGCGGAGATGGCTTGTCTCTGCTCTACATTGTGTTGGCTGAGGTAACAACTCAGGAATGGCAGAAGCAACATTTCAAAACTTACCTTTCTAATGACTTGTTAAAAGGTGAATAATAGACATGCAGGACGCATGGGAAGGAATGTGTCACTTGCATTAGTGAGAACGTGGACTTGGTATGTACCTAAAGAATTTTTGCCTGAACTTTAATGTTCGCGTGTTCCAGAAATACGTGGGCTTCTAAAAAGCTAGGCTTTTAGTCTGTACCTGAGAAGCAGGAGTGAGGAATGGCAAGTCTGTCCCTGTGGGTGCCTTCATGATCAATGTGAGCAGCTTACTGACTGACCTGCACCTGGTCATCGGTGTTGACCTCAAAGCTGGGGGGCTGGTGCGTGGAGTACGTGTGGAAGTAGGGCCCTGCAGAAGGAGGATTAGAGACTACCTTGGGATGGACGACTGTAAAAGTAAAGCCTTGAAAATTCTTCCTTCTCCCAGCAGCATTCTCTGTTCTAATTTATAAAACCTCAGCACAGCCTTCCTGGGGAAATGAGGGGACTGGCTTTATCTTGCTGACACCCGGGTGCCAGACTGTAGTAAACTTGCACTTTGTATAAAATCAACCCCCCTTTCTTTGGCTCTTTTTATGATCCAGAGGGTGGTGCTAAGATCAAAGTTATTCCTTTGGGAAGGAATCAAAGTTGTTCCTTTTCAAGCCACTCCTGGGCTTGGCTTTGCCTTTGGAGCAGCTGCTTACTGTGACCCAAGCTCCTAGAAACTGACATAAGCCGAATTCAGGAAAGGAGGGAATAGGAGGCTCAGAATCATTGTTGTGTGTTAGAAAAATGGCAGTTGGACTTCCCAAATTCAACATGACCCTCCTGGAGGGAAAGAAGGAAGAGGGGAAAAAGAAGAGTATGTGACTTAAAAGATAGACTTCTGTCTTAAAATATTCTTTTCTATTGGTATTTCTTTATGATGCAGAAGCAAGTTCTATGTTCATCTTGAAAGCAACAAAACCAGGTGCTGTGCAAAGGAAAGTGAATTGCCTCCAAGACACAATCTAAAGCTAATCTTATCAAGTGAGAAAACCCCAGCTATCATATGGGTTTTTACCTTTTAGGAAAGAGTTCTTTATTCCTTAAGGAGATCACCTAATTATAATGAAAGTATTTATGTTTTTATCATACTTTTCTTCCAGAAGATGCTTTACTAGTGATAGTCTGTCTCAAATTGTGACCATTCTATCCACTTCAAAACAGTGTGCAAAGATACTGTCTTTCAGGAAGGTGTAGTAAAACTGTAGAAATTTTATGTAAGGGAAAATTTAATTCCCGAAGTAAGAATTAGACAAAACTAATAGGGCTAACCTATTTTACCCTAACTTATTCTCATCTTTTAGGACATTGTTATGGAACTTTAACAAATATAAGTGTCCCTGACCTCAATTTGATGCTAAAAAGTATATTAGATAGTAGTAATTTCTAAAGCTATTTGCTTTTTTGTTTGATTGTAATTCAAATTAGTAACAAGGAACATGGGTTTGCTGTATTGATATTTGCAAATCTACTGTGAATGAATATAACCCAATATTTTTACAATGATTTTTGGTGTTTTTTTCTGATTGTAAAGGTAATGTTCTTTATAGAGTATTTTGAAAAGTAGCAGTAATTAATAAGAAAACAGAAATCACATGTAATCTTATTTCCCGTAGATATATACCATTAACATTTTAACATATTTAAATATATCTAAATGTAATATGTTTCTTTCTATTTTGTATGATTACACATGAATTTTAGAATAATTTACTCCTCTGCTTTTTGGTATAATTTCTGTTCAGTTAGTACATGGAAGAGGGGTCACAATGGCACTTTGTAATGAAAAGACATTTCTAGGTTGCTAGGAAGGGCTTTGTTTCAAAGGACCTACTTTTGGGGAACTATAATCCCTTTTAGAAAGTGGTCCTTCTAGCATTATTTCAGTTTCTAGTATGCCCAAGATTTAAAACGATTATCACTGAACAGATCCTTCATTCATAGAAGGTAAATAAGTTTTAATTCTGTATCAAATTGATGGAGAGTAGCTGCCCAGAACACATGTTGAAACATGACTGGGCTTTGCGGGAAAGACTGTCAGTTACCTGGGGATGTCTGCTGTGAATAACGCTGGAGGGGGAGTGGGGACACCAGTATGGGGTATCATACTCTCAACTCTTGAGGAAGGTGACTGTTTAGATGCACTAAAATTCAGTACTGCCATCGGATGAAGAGAAGAGAGATCATAACCTCCAGTCTTTCATTTGGTTCTGATCTGCAGAATGGCCACTAAACAACTAGAGCAACAAGCTACTTGGTCAGCAGTCAGCTACTGTGCAGGCGGTGACAAGTCTGTCTTGTATTTGAACACTGAACACAAGAGATAAGGCTGAGCATTTTACACTGACCTTCAAACAGTCCAAAATGAGTAAAATGGACTTTCAGAGAGATCTAACAATGTAGACAAACCTCCTGTTTAATTTTCTTTGTTTTATTACAGTTTTAGGTTAAATTACAACACTTATCAGAACACTTAAATCTATATTGGTAAAAAAGGATAATTTCCTGCTGCTGCTCTAGGAGACTGTATTGGATATTAACTTGGAATTACACTGGACTTAAACCTTTAAGATGGCATCTCAGAGCCTAAAGAAATGAAAAGGTTAAAGCAAATTCTCTTCAAGTTTTCCTTATTTATCTCTGTTACAGGCTGCAGAATCAGAGTGTGCACCAATCTGAACCACGGGTAATGGAGGCAGAGACTACTTTAGGGCCCTTGAGAAACAATCCAGGGGAAGAATCAAATTTCAGAACCTCGACACAGCAGGAAATGAATCATAGCACGCATGCCTCCTCTGCTGGAGGCAGTCCTGGGGCAAGCCCGCTTCTAGACCCCCCACCCCTGCTGGGGCCTAATAGATCAACAAGGAAAAAACATTCAGCTGAGCACAAAAATAGCAGAGATGACAGTTTGGACTGGTTTGACTTCGTGGCAACTCATCACACTAAACCTAAAAACACTGTTCTTGTGTCTCCTCGTCCCAAAACAACTGAGGAAGATATGGCTTTAAAGATCTCTAACAACAAATTTCAGGGTAAGGAAAAGAGCGAACCAGGCCAAAGGAGCAAAGTGGAAGCTGGGCAGCTTCCATCATCAATAGAGACAGGTGCTCCATGGAAGCCAGACAATGTGGAGGGTGAAAAGGCAAAACGGACAGCACCCGTGTCAGAAGCAGCAGTACCTGCTGATGAACCAGACTCGGTACTGACTCATCATGCCCCTCGGAGACTGCATAAGCTGTGCAGGGAGAGGGCCCAGAAGTTGTACAGAAATACCACCAGGGCACCTTCACAGTCCACAGCCCCTTCTCATCCTCAATCCATTCCTGTACGTAGCCCAGAAAGAGCACTGGAAACTCCCAAAAGAAAAAGACCAAAATCCCTTGCTCAAGCAGAACGACCTGAACTTGAAAGTGTTGAGACTCCAGTTCCCCCTGTGGCCAAACTGGCAAAATTTACTTTCAAACAGAAGTCAAAACTGATGCACTCCCCTGAAGACCACAGCCATGTGTCTCCTGGCACAATGACAATAGCAGTTCATAGTCCTAAAATTTCCCAGCATAGAACAAGAAGAGAAACAGCTCTGCCTGTGAAAGGTTCAGAAAAGTTGACATCTACTTCAGGAAACAGAAGCTCAGATCATCCACAGTGTAAGACAAAGGAGGTGTCACAGCAGCCACCAGAGAAAGCTGGGTCAATAGAGAAGAGGGAATGTGCCCCTGAGAAGAGAACTATTCAGCGTGGATCAGAGCTTGGAAACCAGACTGGCCATGCTCGTCTTACTTGCGAGGGAGACAAAAAGGAAGAGGTTTCATGCAATTATAAAAGCAGCAAAGTTCATGCTTGCACATTAGCCAAATTGGCAAACTTCTCCTTTAGTTCCCCGTCAGAATCCAAATCAGAATCCCCTCCTCCTCCTGAAAGGAAGAACTGCAGTGAGAGAGGTCCAAGCCCTCCTCCCACAACCACAGCTCCAGTGCTTGGCAGTAAGAGGAAGTCTTTTCAGCTCCAGGGGTCCACTGAGAAACTGATTCTTTCCAAAACTCTCTTCACTTTATCAGAACTAGATGATGAAACATTAGATTTTGACTGGGATGAAGAGATGAGAAAAAAGCCATAATTATGAAAATCTTTCTGGTTAAATTTCACCTTTCACACTCAACACAGCACCTCAGGGTATCAATGTGCTACTTATAAATGTACAGAACTGTTGGCCATATTGAGTACCATTCCGAACACCAGCTCCCCATCAGGTTTGCTAATTTCAGGTTCAGCTTGATGACTTAATCGGCTTAGGTCAGTGTGATACTTGCACTTGAGTTGAATTAATAGATCTTGTGCTTAATTTTGCAAATGGAGTACTTGTATTCCCAAAGATGTTTCCTTTTTTTGATTTGTTTTTTTAAGGAAGAGAGGGTCTTTCCTAGATCCCTTCTTTCACTCACTCAGGAACAAATGCCAGGAAGAAAGCACTCAAAAATCTAACAAGGCAGGTGAACTCTTTTTCTATTTTTGTCTTTGTATTTTCACCTGGAATGTGTTAAGTACAGTGGATATTTATTATCATTTGGGGTGATTTGCCAAAATCATGTGATTTTTCTGATATTAGTTTTGTATTTATTTGCATACAATGGATTAAATGTGATTTAAGCTTTTCTTTCTTTGAGAGACATCCTTACAATTCCATGGTATTCCCAAAGATCTTGCAACTGGTCAAATAGTAGCTTTCTAAAGTACTGACCTTTTGAGTTTTCCTTTCTTTCTTGAGCCAACATTTTGTGCTTCAGCTTCTTTTTTTCTCCCGGGGACCGACCTCCAGCACAACTCAAATCCCGTAGTTAGAAGAAGAATGTGCAGTACTCTCAACCATGCATCATGTCTTATCTACCCAGGTGGATAATATAGAAATATGATTCCTGCTAAGTTCTGATTTATTTGTCTTTAAATCCAAGCAAATTATGTACTGTGTTTAATAATAATAGATAACTCAAGCTTATCTTTCTATGTGCTTTTAAAATCACTTATTCCTTTGGATTCTAGCAAGGGTTGTTAGGATTCTATAATTACAGACTTTCTCTTCTGAAGTATGAATTTGTAACATGATTGATTCCTTAATTGTCTGTGGAAGTTTTGGACATGAAGAATACTCAAAACTATATGTAATTTGTTTAATGCTCACTTCATTAAATTCATGGAGAGAAAACAAATTTGGAAAATCCAACTTTTTTTAAGCATTGAAACATTAATTCCCAAATTGACTAATTACATTTTCTGAAAAATTTTAAACTGTGAATACAAATTTAGTATGGATGAGTCTTTTGAAGTCTTGAAATACTTTAAACAGCTGATAAAAGATATACATAAGCAGTGATTATAAAATTTATTATTGCATATTCACTTAAACCTGTTCTAATAGAGGTTTATAGCTTATATAGTATTATTTCTGTACTTAATTAATAACTTCCCAGTATAGTATAATTCTTAATTTGATATAGTTCTAGTCTTTCAGTATTTTTGTTTTTCTGGGTTTCAATGTTCTTACTAGAACTAAAGGAAAAGGAAAGGATATAGGTTTTTGACCAGTTGAATCTTGGTCTGGACGTGGTCTGATTGTGTAGATGGGGGTAATTCAAACCTGAGACACAATGTGGAGCTGACTGTTTTTGTTTTTCTTTTTCCCGCACCACCCCTAGACTAAGAATTCTTTTGTTAATGGTAAATTTTTAAGTCCCTTTCTTATGAATTTTTGCCTTTGAAACTTGGTATCTTTTGCAGTGATGATGTATTGGGTTTTGCATGGCTGATAGTACCTAACCTATTGGCCCGTCATTAGGGTATTTTGATCTATTCCATTATCATCATTTAAAATGTTTGTATTCTTTATTGGGTCTCTTGATTCCTAGAGGTTTCATTTCTTAGTAATGAGAGATTTAATTTTTGTAGTTAACTTGTCTTTCAGAGACATTGAGTAATTCATGTTTTAAAATACAGTGTTGAATTGTCTCTCTTCCTTGGTTATTGTGTATGACTGCCTATGCCACCTTCTACCTGGTTATTATTTGTGCCCACCATGCATCCCATTACTGGTGCTAATTAAATCATCCTACTTTTGATTTAGTACCTTCTGCCAAGATAATTTGGCCAAAATTACAAGGTCCATGTGATTATTCTTTGGTGCTTACCCAGATAGAAATAACTTCAGATATAAATATTATAAACAGGCTGGGCATGGTGGCTCATGCCTGTAATCCCAGCACTTTGGGAAGGCAGGAGGATCACTTGAGGCCAGGAGTTCAAGGGTGCAGTGAACT